AATTTCTTCCTTTGATAACCTTCTACGCTCAAATACTTTGTTTCTTTGATTTAGATGACACCTGTAACTCAACTGAACAACTAATCGCAGAGTCAACTTCGAAATTCATTACATCTCCGGGGTTCCCATCTGCACATTCAAGGTACATACATTTTAAAAACAAAATTAAAAAAAGAAAAAAAAATGATTAAAGCCCTACATGTATCTAAATACTAAATTGTGTTTTTATTTTCAGATCAATGCAATGCTCCTGGATTGTGGTTTCTGATTTAAAGGGGAACTTTCGTTTAATTTTTGAGTTCCGCTCTCAATATTTTAAAAAAAGCTACTTTGGCTACTGCTTTGATTTCGTAAAGATAGATAGTGTGGGCGGTCAGTATCATTAAGTTTTCATGTTCAATGTTATATCGTTTGATGTTATATATATATATATATATATATATATATATATATATATATATATATATATATATATATATATATATATATATATATATAAAAGCACAAATTACAACAACTCTTAAACTAATATAACTGCCCTAAGTGAAGGATATAGTTGAAGGTATTTATATATATATATATATATATATATATATATATATATATATATATATATATATATATATATATATATATATATATATATATATATATATATCACTTCCATTCTCAATGACCGTGTAGTGTAGGGCAGCGTTGTGAGAATTCCATCGGCATCGAAAGCAAGTTTTTTAACTTGCCTAGATAGCCGAGTGGTCTAACGCGCTGTTCTCGTACTGCTAAGAGACAGATTCCGTAGGTCGAGAGTTCAACCCCGGAATAAAGTGGAAGTGAGTATCCATGTAAAAGTGAATTTCTCTGTGCTTTCTATATTAATATTCCTTCACTTAGGGCAGTTATATTAGTTTAAGAGTTGTTGTAATTTGTGCTTTATATATATATATATATATATATATATATATATATATATATATATATATATATATATATATATATATATAAAGCACTAAAAAACCAACAACACTGTATAATTATCCTAAATGTCGGATCTACCAAGTAGATACAAGATCACGGATGGAAATTTATATAAAGCACTAAAATGACCAACGACACGAACAATAAAAATTGACAAATTTTCGGGACGCCCTGTCCGTACCTCAGGACAAAGAAAAAAGTTAAAACGTCATAAGAACAAAGGAAAAAGAAAAACAAAAACAATTAGCACTACTACTTAACTACTAATCACTATTTATTTACAAACTTAGTTACAAGTTGAATTGGAAATTTTTAAGAACAGTATAAGTAAAGAAAGAAATCCGGACTGCTACGTCCGGTCTATCGGGTATGCTCGGGTGAAGTGCAATTTACATAATTGAACGAATCAATTATGCTAATTAAATTACGACAATCAGTAAATCGTACATTGTTTCATTCTCTCAATATGGCCTAACTATACTTGATAAAGAATAATCAAAGAAAAATAATACAGCAGAGATATTTTAAAATATGAATCATGATCTATTATAAATTTTGAAATATTATAGGACTTTTAAGAAATTTTTAAGAACACTATAATTAAAGAAATAGATTCGGACCGCTATGAAATACGTCCGGTCTATCGGGTATACTCGGGTGAAGTGCGACTTACATAATTGAACGAATTAATTATGCTAATTAATTACGACAATCAGTAAATCGTACATTGTTTCATTCTCTCAATATGGCGTAACTGTACTTGATAAAGAAGAATCAAAGACAAATGATACAGCAGGGATATTTTAAATTATGAATTATGATCTATTATAAATTTCTAAATATTTTAGGACTTATTATCGGGAAAAAATAATTAACAAAGGCGTAAACAATTCATAGTTATGTGGGTTGTTCGAGAGTTGGTGACGCAAATAAACTGTAGAGTTAACACAAAATTGAGAGAATAATCCTGTTTAGTATCTTCAGGAATTGGGTCTAGTTTACGTTCATTCTGGTGAAGTCGTTCAGTTTGTTAATGCCAGTAGGGCTGAATGACTTCAGTCTGTGCATCCAGAACTTTTCCTTGCTTTTTCTCTGAGCGTCTGTCCATCTTGGGTTATGGTCACTCACCACTACTGTCATGTCTTCCCATTTGTGACCCTCAAGGTTGAAATGTTCCCCAACAGGTTCATTGAGTTTTTTGGTCCTAATGGTCGAACGGTGGTTATTGACTCTCCTGCAGAGATCTCCTGTTTCACCAATATACTGTTTGGAGCAAACTTTGCATCTGATGAGATAAATGCAGTTGTCAGTATGACAGGACAAATTCCCTAGTATTTTGTAGCTGCTGCCTGTAACAGGGCTGTTAAAACTGTCCATGTCAGTGCTGTGCTTACAAAGAAGACATCTTCTGTCAAAGCAAGTTTTAAAGCCCCCGTTAGGTAATGGGTTGTCCAGTCTGGTTTACTACCCTGTCCTTTAGGTTCCTTGAGCGTCTGTATGCAGCCAATGGGGGTTCCTTAAAGACCTCTGCCATTCGTTTGTTTGAATGGAGAATTTGTAGGTTCTTTTGAAGGATACCGCTAAGGTTCTTAAGGATGGGATGGTATGTGGTTACCAGAGGGACCCTGCCGCTATTTTCTTTCTCCTTGTAGCGTAATAGGTTTTGCCTGTCATCGCAGCACAGTTAAGGTTACAAAAAGGAGGCGGAGCCTAATTTGTACGGGAAAACTTGACTATGACATCATACACAATATACGTCATACAACATTTCTTTAAAATACCACAAAATGAGTTTATCTGCGAATTTAACAAGTAAGAAATAACAAACTACATAAAAACGTACTACAGCGTGTTGTTTTGTCGTTAGTTAAATCCCACATAACAAGTTATAAACAAGTCACTGATCGCAATACACTTGTCAATATGACGTCATTTCTTACAACGTGACGTAGTTTGTATGCAGTGAGAGACAAATCAAGTGATATTTTCTCAAAAATTATATTTTCTCTAATTAAATAAAATATTATTTACAGATATTCTATGGGCCAATAACTTGAATTTAATGTCTTTTTCACTACTTTATTAATATATTTTCTGTACATTACGTATTTAGTTGACACTGCCGTATATTTGTATGCAAGTACATCGGAGGGTAATGTTGGGGGTCTTAATAAATCGATCTAGTGCAAGGGCATACACTCTATGGATCAAAGTAAGCTTTTACATTTCAACTATAGAACTATTAAGGTATCTGAAAAGTGCTGCGATCCTGATGAAATCTTAAAAACAATTTAATTATATCAATATTTCATGCCGCTGACCAGCAAAAAATATAGAATTCGGTCATACAAGTATAATTTTAACAATGAGATTACAGAATTTAGACAGGATCGCAGCACTTTTTAGAAACTACAATGCGTGTTGAAAATATTTGTATGCTAAACTTGGTATTTCAACTTGGTTATGCCCTTGCTCTAGTGATATTTATATGTAACATCAATACTTCAAGTCAATGTGCTAAAATCGCGTGACTGCCGCATCACGTGACTAGTCTAAATATAAAATATAATCGTCCTCGATATGTAGTTATTAATCATAATAACAATTATCCGATATGAATTATGTATTAAAAATAATCGCCATCCCGATTACGAATACCTTTTCAAATGCAAAATTTAGTCGATATTTCCATTGCGCACCTTAACTGTACTGCGATGTCCCGCCATCTCATCAATAGCTGTTTGTACGGTGCGGGCATTGTAGCCTCATTTGCATAAGTGGGACTTGAGAAGACCACTTTGCTCCTGATATAAGGCAGGGGACGAACAGATTTCTGGTGGCTAGACCCTTAGGCACCCCCTTAAAAGTGTGTGGGGGGTGACAGCTAGTGGGCATAAGATATAGGTGGGAGTCTGTGGGTTTGGTGTGGAGACTGAATTCGATTTCACCATCAATCAGGGTAGATGTAGTATCTAGGAATACGTCTTTCGATTTAGATTCGTCTACTGTAAATTTGATTGACTGATGAAAGGTGTTGGCAAACGTAATGAATGCCTCGAGGCTCTCGCGAGTTTCCACCCACTTCATCTCTATATCGTCAATGAAACGCAACCAGCTATCGGGCCTAAATTGTGCTTGAAGTAACAAGTTGCGTTCCAGTCTGCCCATGAAGACATTGGCATAAGACGGTGCCATTTTCGTACCCATAGCAGTGCCATTAACTTGCAGGTAATGTTCTCCATTAAACATGAAGTTGTTGAACTTGAGAACATGTTCAAGGAGCTTAGCAAGGGACTCGGTAGAAGGAACTTGTATGGATCTACTATCCCAGACTTCTCTACAGGCGTCGATACCCTCATCGTGCGGAATATTTGTGTACAAAGATGTGACGTCCATAGTCACGAGGAGAGTATGATCTGGGAGGCCAGTAGAGGGCGTCTTGTTAATGTAGTCCGTAGTGTCCTTAAGATAGGATGGCAAACTTTCTACGTGTGGACGGAGATGTAAATCAATGAATTCAGAAATTTTCTCCGTGGGGTGTCCTATTGCGCTGACTATGGGTGGACCTGGCATGCCTTCTTTTTGTATTTTAGGAAGCAGATAGAATTGTCCTGTTCTACAGTCAATAGGATTTAAGGTCTCATAGACGTTGATACCAATCTCATTTTTCTCAAACATATCGTCAAGAGTTTTGGTAATGGTGGTGGAGAATTCTTTAGTAGGGTCAGAGTCCAGTTTCTTATAGAAACGTTCGTCTGAGAGTTGTCTTTGGGCCTCCGCCATGTAAGTCTCTGTATCCATTACTACAACTGTAGAGCCTTTGTCTGCTTTCTTAATTACAATGTCATCCCGATTTTTAAATGATTGTAAGGCAGATCTCTCCTCCTTACTCAAATTGTCGGGAGTTTTGTCTGGCATTGAAAGGAGCTTTTCTATGTCTGATTCAACGGCGTCAATATACGACTCAAGCGCGCCGCACTTGCCCGGTGCACTCTTGGGCTTATAGAGTTTGTGTTCCTCTAGGTCGTGTAAATCTGGCTTGGAAGAGTCGTATGAATTTGCGAAGTCTTTTCTAGAGAAGTGCTCCTTCAAACGAAGTCTCCGGAAGAATGCTCGGGTGTCCTCTCTGACTTGTTTTTCGTCGACCTCATGTAGCGTGGGGCAGAAATTTAGCCCCTTTGAGAGAAGTGAGGTCTCCGATTCGGAGAGAGGAGCACTAGATGTACTGAGCACTGGGCAGACGTCAGGAGTTTGTATGGGTCCGTCCCTCGCGATTGTCTTAATGCGTTTGAAGCGTCTCGAGCGGGGTTTACGTGTTTTGTTAACTCTGACCTCTGACCAGTTGTTCCTAGACTGTGGAACACTGTCGCGGAGAAATTTCTTTTTTTGAGTCTTGTTGACTTTGTTTGTTAGGGCCATATTATAGGTGTCTATAATATTATGGGCTTCGTCAAGATCGGCCTGGGACATGATATCGTTGAGGGATGATTCTAAGGACTTGATCTCACTCTTCAATTGTCCTAACTTGTGGATATCCCAAGAAAGACAGAGTGACATCAATTGTTTAGAACATCTCCTTGTAATAACGTCCCAGCGTTCCTGGAAGCGTTTGGAGATTGGCCCTATGTTAGGTGTAACATTTATCTGAAAGCCTTTCGGTATAATGTCACACTCTAAATAGGTCTGTACATTGGAGACCCGGTGTTCAGTTTTTATAGATTTTTGGTGTTCTTTCTTTAGAAGTTTGAATGTTGAATTATCTTTAATAGACATATTTGAAGTTCCTTCTACCGAGTCCCTTGCTAAGCTCCTTGAACATGTTCTCAAGTTCAACAACTTTATGTTTAATGGAGAACATTACCTGCAAGTTAATGGCACTGCTATGGGTACGAAAATGGCACCGTCTTATGCCAATGTCTTCATGGGCAGACTGGAACGCAACTTGTTACTTCAAGCACCATTTAGGCCCCATAGCTGGTTGCGTTTCATTGAGGATATAGAGATGAAATGGGTGGAATGTCGCGAGAGCCTCGAGGCATTCATTACTTTTGCCAACACCTTTCATCAGTCAATCAAATTTACAGTAGACGAATCTAAATCGAAAGACGTATTCCTAGATACTACATCTACCCTGATTGATGGTGAAATCGAATTCAGTCTCCACACCAAACCCACAGACTCCCACCTATATCTTATGCCCACTAGCTGTCATCCCCCACACACTTTTAAGGGAGTGCCTAAGGGTCTAGCCACCAGAATTCGACGCATCTGTTCGTCCCTGCCTTATATCAGGAGCAAAGTGGTCTTCTCAAGTCCCACTTATGCAAAAGAGGCTACAATGCCCGCACCGTACAAACAGCTATTGATGAGATGGCGGGACATGACAGGCAAAACCTGTTACGCTACAAGGAGAAAGAAAATAGCGGCAGGGTCCCTCTGGTAACCACATACCATCCCGTCCTTAAGAACCTTAGCGGTATCCTTCAAAAGAACCTACCAATTCTCCATTCACTCCATTCTCCATGTACGATTTACTGATTGTCTTAATTAATTAGCATAATTAATTGGTTCAATTATGTAAGTCGCACTTCACCCGAGTATACCCGATAGACCGGACGTATTTCATAGCGGTCCGGATTTCTTTCTTTAATAGTGTTCTTGAATATTTCCAATTCAACATGTAACTATGTTTGTAAATATATAGTGTTTAGTAGTCTAGTAGTAGTGTTAGTTGTTTTTGTTTCTCTTTTTCCTTTGTTCTAATGACTTTTCAGCTCACCTGAGCCAAAGGCTCAAGTAAGCTTTTCTGATCAAAATTTGTCCGTTGTCTGTCGTCGTTGTCGTCATCGTCGTAAACTTTTCACATTTTCATCTTCCACCGAGCCAATTTCAACCAAACTTGCTACAAAGTTTCCTTGGGTAAAGAGGATTCAAGTTTGTTCAAATGAAGGACCACGCCGTTTTCCAAGGGGAGATAATTATGAATTAGAGAAAAAATAAAGGCATTTTTAAAAAATCAATTTCTCAAGAACCACTGGGCCAGGAAAGATGAAGCTCCTGTGAAATCATCTCCAGGTAGTGTAGATTCAACTTTGTTCAAATCATGAACCCCGGGGGTAGGGTGGGCCCAAATGGCCGATCAAAGTTTAACATAGGAATATATATAAATTCAAGCCCCCTCCCCCCTTTGTAAACTTTAAGTTCTGATCTGATATGTACTTTTTCCTAGCCAATTGCTCAGGTGAGCAATGTGGCCCCTGGGCCTCTTGTTAACTTTTTTCTTTGTCCTGAGGAAGGGACAGGGCGTCCCAAAAAATTGACAATTTTTATTGTTCGTGTCCTTGACCATTTTTAGTGCTTTATATATATATATATATATATATATATATATATATATATATATATATATATATATATATATATATATATATATATATATATATATATATATTCCTGCACTGCTAGGAGACAGATTCCGAAGGTCGAGAGTTCAACCCCGGGCTGGGGCGGAAGTGGGTATCCATGTAAAAGTGAATTTCTTTGTACTTTCTATATTAATATTTCTTCACTTAGGGCAGTTATGTTAGTTTAAGAGTTGTTGTAAAATGTGCTTTATAAATTAAAATTAATTTCATTACAACATGTATTGGTAACAATTCTCTGTTGAAACTAATGTCCAAATAACTGTATCTCACTTCTATTCTCAATTACCGTGTAGTGTAGGACAGCGCCGCGAGAATTCCATCGGCATCGAAAGCAAGTTTTTTAACTTGCCTAGATAGCCGAGCGGTCTAGCGCGCTGTTCCTGCAATGCTAGGAGACAGATTCCGAAGGTCGAGAGTTCAACCCCGGGCTGGGGCGGAAGTGGGTATCCATGTAAAAGTGAATTTCTTTGTGCTTTCTAAATTATATATATATATATATATATATATATATATATATATATATATATATATATATATATACATATATTTACATTTCCAATGTCTTTGTCCGAGATAAAATTACAAATTGTAAATGTACTTTATTTCCCCATCAATGTATTGGCGCGGTTCCAAAAAAAAAACACGTGCAGGTTTGGAACAAACAGCTAGACAGAAGCAGGCTTGGAGCACGTGGATTGGCGGAATCAAAGCATGTAGATATAAGGAAATAAATTGTCAGATTTTTCAATTTCATGACGATGGTCAATCGATTGGCTTGCGAGATAATTTTATGCATAAACCCGTTTATGCAAATTATCACGCAACCCAATCGATTGATCACATCATGAAATTGAAAAATAAGACAGTTATTCCTTAAATATTTACATTTCCAATGTCATTGTCCGAGATAAAATTACCAATTGTAAATGTAATTGATTTCCTCATGAATGTTTTGGCGCGGTTCCAAAAAAAAACCACGTGCAGGCCGGGACAACACCTAGAGAGAAGCAGGCGGAATCAAAGCATGTAAATATAAGGAATAACTGTCTTATTTTTTGAATTCATGATGATGATCAATGGATTGGCTTGTGTAATAATTTTATGCATAAATTATCACACAAGCCAATCCATTGATCACTTCATGAATTCTATATAAAAATAAGACAGTTATTCCTTAAATATATATATATATATATATATAGATATATATATATATGGCTGGGGCGGAAGTGGGTATCCATGTAAAAGTGAATTTCTTTGTGCTTTCTATATATATATATATATATATATATATATATATATATATATATATATATATATATATATATATATATATATATATATATATATATATATATATATATATATGTATATATATATTACCGATACATTAAAGCGCTTTCCCTGATCATGTAGGAACTGTTTCACAGTTTACAATACAAAATGCTAATTGTTGAAATATATATGATTTAGAATTCTGTGAAGGGAAGGAAGATTATATCTTAAGAACATCCGACAGATTGATCTTATATTAAATAACACTACAACTAAGGTGCAGTTGTTAGTAACAACTACTATAATTATTATAGTAGAAGCGGGTTTGTTTTGGCTTTTTACATCGCAGGTTAGTTGCTTTACATCATTATATATTCTGAATTTGCTTTAAAAAGATGCTTGAAATTTTATTAACAATATCTATATGTTTAGGCCTGGTTTTCAAATAGAATTTGTGCAAATTTTTATGCGTGAAAAGAAGAAAACACTTGTTAAGGCCTTCAACTCGACATTTAGATATATCGACGACGTATTGTCAATTAACAGTGGGATTTTCCATTACGGTGTCGAAATATATCCTTTTGACCTTGAAATAAAAGATCCCACAAAGTCTGACACATCTGTTTCACATTTGGATAAGACCACAGAACATAAACTCGCAAGATTGGAAATATGCAGCTTACGTCATTTCTATCTGTTACAATCAAAACATTAATGATAGAAAATGAAATGGGCGGGTACAATTCGACGCGGACTGGGGGAAGACATTGGATTGAAATTCGAGTTTGAAATTCATTTTCAATGAATACCTGTCGGCAGGGTATGCTCACTCCTCCATTGTACCTGATCCCATCTCTGATGTTGTGGAAGTTTTTTTTTGTATTGTTTTCTGGACTTTTGATCTTGAATACTGTTCGATATCCACATATTTTTCATAAAGATAAATTTTGTTATTTATTTAAAAATGACCGTATAAATGTAAACAATTTAACACACAAGAAGGGATCAGACTCATACGTTTGATTGTAAGTTATGTAAAATATGATGTCTGATCCCCCGAAAAATAAGTAGAAAAAAGTGTCATTAAGTAAAATGCTGACTGACAATTTTCATACTTATCGTTATGCCATTTTTTACAAAATGAATTATCCAATGATTTTTCTGTTATTTCTCAATCATGACAAGGAGGACACGGTGGGTGTGACAGGTCGGCAAGGTATGCTCTCTCCTCCATGACACCTGATTCAACCTCATATGTGTTGGAGGCCAGTCTTTGCTCTACTCCTATTTTGCTTTTTTTCAATGGAGTCTTGAGCTTGAATACTGTTCGTTATCTCAATATATTCATACTGTTTCCAATGTCGACTCGATATATCCCAGTGACATCAAATTATATACGTACAACACAGAGTAGGACATTTTGATACTTTACGACAAGAAGACAATTATTATTACCGAAACAAAACAATTATTACAAACCATTTCTGATAATTGTGATGAATCCAACTTTTCACTTTCAACATCCCGTATCTTTGTAGCAATATAGTAAATAATAAAACAAGGATATCATCATTCTTGATTGACGTCTTAATTTAACAAGCTCTGTTACAACGCACTTTGAAAAATTACGCACTTTGAAAAAATTTTTCAAAGTGCGTTAAATTTTGGGACCAAGTCAACGCACTTTGAAAAAATAAAATTTCTTTTCAAAGTGCGTTAATATGGACCATATTAACACACTTTGAAAAACTGTGTATGGATTTGTCAATATTCCTGCAAATCTTAGGTATGGTAAATATTTGAACCTGTTTGATAATTCTTCTGTGAAGAGGTCACATCAGGATATGAAAGTGAGCGATTTTGATTTTTCCATACTTAGAAAATTCTTTCTCGCTTAAATGCTTTACTGTACTAAATTTTTTTCAAGTATGCATGCATTTTATGTAAACTTAAATTTATTGAAAGTTTTCAACGTCATACCAGTTATGTGAACACATATATTTTGGTGTAGCATAGGCAACAGTACCGGAAAGGGGGCTTACATGTAGGCTCATAAATATTTTGCAAAGATATACATAATATAAACATGTATGCATTAAAAATTGGGGCTTACCTGTGGGGTCAACTTTCAATTTGCTACCGACGGCTATGTACAATGTTTAAGAAAAAAAAAAAGAGTTGGGATGAGAGACCTTCTACTCGTCTTCTCCTTGTTCTCAATGAGGTTAAGTGAGTTCATGTAAATTTAAAAAAAGTTTTTCAAAAGATATAATTATTACAATTTGATTTCCTCTATTACTTAAATCTAAGTCTAGAATTTTTATTTTCATTCATATCTTTTTTTCAAAGTGCGTTAAATGCCTCCATGGTAAAAAATTATTATGTGCATTTTTAACGCACTTTGAAAAATTTTTTCAAAGTGCGTTGAGTGTGTCCAAAATTTAATGCACTTTGAAAAATTTTACGCACTTTGAAAATTTTTTTCAAAGTGCGTAATTTTTTCAAAGTGCGTTGCCACAAAACTCTATTGTCGATAAAATTCCCTATTAAGCAATTACACTTGCAATTAGGTCAAATGCTGACTGAGTTTTTTAACGGGAATTTCCATTGATTTCTCCGTTTAGGCAATCATTATAAAAGGACGTACGGAGGGTGTGACCGGCCCACAGGATATGCTTACTCCTCCGTGGCACTTTATTAGGAAATGTGTGGTTTTCCATTCCCGATAAACAAATTTTAAAATGAATTATGAGCTTGAATACTTTTCGCTATCCCCATATCTCAGTTGGGGTGCTTAATTTAATTTCCTATTTTATTTTAAGTTGTTCCCAGACTTCAGCTGCAAATTACACCACGACATGATTTTTCACTTCAAAGTGGCCAAAGTATAAGTCTACAATGTACAATCACGAATCCGGAATCAATGTATTCTGTAGGCGGAGGTCTAATCTGGCAGAAAGACGGGAAAAATATCGAAACAGGCAAGACTAAAAAATTGAGTTAATTATGCAAGTCCTTACTTACAAAATCAGTCGTCTGAGGTTTAAGATTCTTCAAAGAATAAAATGAACGAATGTCCAGATCAAAAATGATATATAATGCAATGAGTTCGTCATAGCTATATAATGTTTTTAGATTCAGACTTTTATATACAAACTACTAATCTATCCACCACATTGATGAAAATATCAGCAGAAAGTAATGATTCTGGAAGTTACTTGTGCTCACATTCCCATTATCCTGAAACAGAAAATGCTTCCATCAATGTAAATGTAAGGAAACCAAGTGAGTCAATAATTTTCATCTAGCAGCAAACATTCAATAATCTATAAAAATGGCAATTTACTAAATTTCTTTGTTGAAAATACTTGAAATTTTATTTTTATTTTTAAAACCACTTCTCTAATCTAAAATGTTTTTCCATTTAGGTCCCAGAAAACAAATTGAATGTCAAAGCGAGATTTTTTCTAACATAACATGGAAACCAATATTTACAGGAACAACTGCAAACGAATCCTGTCCAGAAAATCAGATCGGTATTAATTCAAATTTGAAAATGTTAGCTAATTACTTGCACACAGATCCATTAATGTAAAAACATATAGAACTGTTCGTACACACAAACAAACAATGCACTGTTTTTTCTCACTATTTTTGAATGGTACAACAGTTTTTATAGTGTATCACTTTGTAATATTCAACGATAACAAAAAAATATGATTCTCAATACATGACTAATTTTGTTGGAAATGATAGATCCCAGAGAATTCTAGGTGATCTTAAGCGGAATGTACACACAGAATTTTCCCCCCAATTTTTAAGGAATAGCTACGAGATATTGTGACACTCGAGGTGTATGGGATATGCCTAATCTGATAAATTGTACTAGTAAAGCGTTTGTGGATGCTTCCAAAGAGGTAAGTCTTTACTCATGTACAGTTAAAGAAAACGCGATAAGGATATCTGAATATGTTTGTTGTTGTGAATGGAGTATTGTTTCGGGTAACCTATAAAAGTTAGTGTAAGCTTAGTCCAATGCTTTCAATCTCCATTAAAAACAGATGATAAGTTCGCCATTAATATAATGTTGTGTGAATCAGAAGAATTTTTGGACAATTTGAAATCGCAAGATTTTACTAAAATCAACAGCTTAAAAACTTTCGAATTTTCAATTTTATACACAATTATTCCCCACGATAAATTAAAGTCCAGGCTTTTTGATATCACCGAGAGCTAAATTTTCAATAAAAATGGAACTCGTTAATTTACTTAACTAGTCATTATAACTTGTTTTGTTAAAACAGATTCTGATTGCACACACAAATACTCTGAAGTTGACATCAAAGAGATGTTTGAGTTTCTAACTGACAATATCTATGTTGTTTTTGGAGACTAGGTATTCAAACAATCTATTAGAATCCCCATGGGTGCCAATTGCGCTCCATTATAAGCAGATCTATTTTTACATTCCTATGAAGCAGACTTTATGCAAAATCTTATGGGTGAAAAGACGAAAACAGTTGCTGTGGCCTTCGACTCGACATTTTGATATATCGACGACGTATTGTCAATTAAAAATGGTAATGTCCATTCCAACGTCGATACGATATATCATGGGGAGCTTGAGATAAAAGATATCACAGAGTCTGACACATCTATTTCATACTTGGATATTTAACTCAAAAAAAGACGTTAATGGTAATC